TCTTTCTGCATCATACCCTAGGCCTTCAGTAAAATTGTGTTAGATGTTGCTACATTTTCTTAGCTGTGCTCTGGCAATTAAGAGGGAGGCTTGTGGCCATGCTTGGGGCCCAGGAATCCAAGGAGAGTCAGAAGCCATGGCAAAATGGCAAGCACTGGGGGCCAGAGAGAGAGGTGGCTGCATTTTAAGACAAATGGCCATTAGGACAGAACCATGGGACACCTAAGTGTGTCCTGGGGGCTCTCAGGAAGACTTAGACTTGGGGAAAACCTGACTTTAAACATGACATTTCTGCACTCATGAAAGGTAGGAATTCTGGCTATATTAAATAAGATTAAAGGGAGGGATGGCTTTTGAAGGTTAAGACTGTAAGAAAGTCTGTGTCAGACTTGGAAGAGATCTTAAGAAGAAACCTAGTAAGGGTGCCAAGACCATTCAATGGGGAAAGAATAGTTTTTTTTCAACAAATGATGCTGGGACAACTGGATAGCCACATCCAAATGAGTGAAGTTGGACCCTTATCTCACATCATATACTATAAAAATTAATTCAGAATAGATCAAAGCTCTAAATTTCAGAACTATAAACTTTTAAACTCTTAGAAAGCCTGAGGTCAATCTTTGTAATCTCAGATTTGGCAATGAAACATTAAATATGACACCAAGACACAAGCAAGGAAAGAAAAAGAAAAGATAGATAAATTGAATGTCTTCAATATTAAAAACTTTTGTGTGTCAAAAGATACTATCAAGATATGAAAAGATAATCCATAGAGTGAAAGAAACACTTGCCAATTATATTTGCAGTAAGGAGCTTGTATCCAAAATATATAAGAACTCTTACAATTTAATAATAGGAAGACATATAAAAAATGGACAAAGGATCTGCACAGACATTTCTCCAAAGAAGATATATAAAGAGCCAGTAAACACATGAAAAGATGCTCCACATGTTGCCAAAAGCCACGCTGAGATACCACTTCACACGTACTAGTATGAGTATAATAAAGAAGTCTGGTACTAACGAGCGTAGGGGAGAGTGAGGGGAAGTTGGAAGCCTCATACATTGCTAGTGGGAATGTAGAATGGTGCAACCACTTTGGAAAGCAGTCTGGCAGTTTCTCAAATGGTTACAGATAGAATTATCATCTGACTGAGCAATTCCACTCCTCAATATTACTTAAATGAAACCACAATATATGCCACAGAAAAACTTATACAGGAATGTTGATAGCAGCATTATTCATAATAGCAAAAAAAAAACTTGGAAACAGCCCAAATGTTCATTAACTGATGAATAAATTAATAAAATCCAGTATATCCACAATATAAGATATTATTTGGCCATAAAAAGAATGAAGTACTGATTGATGCTACAGCATGGAAGAACTTTGAAGATAGTATGCTAAATGAAAGAAGCCAGCCACAAAGTATCACATGTGATTCTGTTTGTATGAAATGTCCAGAATAAGCAGACCTACAGAGACAGAGTGTACATTAATTGTTGCCTGGGCTGGGCAGAGGGATAGTGACTGCTGGAAGGTAGAGGATTTCTCTTTTAGTTGATGAGAAAGTTCTAAAATTGACTGTGGTGATGGTTGCACGTATCTGTGAATATACTAAAACCCACTGACTTGTATACCCTAATGGGAAATTTTATGATATATGAATTATCTCTCACTTAAACTGGTGTGTGTGTGTGTGTGCGTGTGTGTGTGTGTGTGAGAATACATCTAGATTGGCTTCCACTTTAGACACAGTTGGACAACTCATCCATCCAAAGCCAGGCTCTTCCAGGGAAAGGAAATCTAACCCCTCCTCCAGCTCCTAGCTTCAAACAACCCTCAGGGGCAGAACATGTCATTCTCTAGGCCATAGGCCCTTTCCTAGCTTTCCTCAGAAATCTTGGTGTTCTACATCTTGGTGTCAAATTTGGACAATTTAGACACCTGTAGGGAAGCCAGGTAGCAGAAATGTGGTTCAGGGGAAGGGAGCCGTGGGGCATTTGGTGAATGGGGAAGCACTTAGGATCTACCACACTGGGATGTATACCTGGCGTCTCACAACGTGCAGCCCTGAAAACTCACCAATGACTTTTGAAATTAAAACAAAACAGAACAAAACACAACACAAAGCCAGGTCAAGCAAGGAAAGCACAGCGTTGGGCAAGATTTCTCCAGTGGGTCCTGGTTTCTTGATCTTTGCTCTATGAGAGATGAGTGGTAGCTCTAAGTGTGACACTTTGCCTTTTCCTGGCTGAATTTTTCAACATTCTCAAGGGCATATAGTATCAGAAAATCATCTTTCTTTCCCTTATTTGTTATTTCTGGTGCTGGTTGTGTCCTGGGCTGACGAGTTAGTTAAGACCTCCATTCAACCAGGAAAGCAGCCTGTATCTAAACCTCTGCTTTAGGCCTTTAATACTGGCTCATATTACCCAGTTTTGAGTTTGCAGCATCCAAAGGTGAAGTGGACGGACGTGGCGGTCACTGTTTCTTGTGCTTCCGTTGTGTCTGCAGACAGCCTACAACGTCACCTGCCAGCTCCCACTTGCTCCTCTCTGTTCCCAGCTGGAGCCCTCATTAGTTGAATTGATTTCTGGGGCTGCAGCACCCGGTCAATGGCAGACACTCCCCACCCTCCCTCCCTCCAGTGAGAGGTAAAAGGCTCCAGTCCCCGTGGGGCGGTTGTGCTTACTGTAAACCCATCCAGACTCCCCACCGTGTGTTTGCACACAGCCCTCACCTCCTCAGCAGCCTTCTACAAGGACCCCACTCCATAGTAAACATTTTAGCAAAGTGCATTTTGTGTGGGGGAGTGAAGTGTGAGCTCCAAAGGGACACTTTGTAGTTGAAGGAAAAGAGGACACCCCAGTTCTCATACATATAACACTTATTAACAGTTAACACTGAATACCTGGATTTTGTCTGAGCGTGGAATTCTGTTTCTAAACTCCCCCGTTATCGAGAGATCATCAGGATTAGTTTCACTGGCAAATAATGAGACAGAAAAGGGCCAATTAGAGTATTTAGTCCTCATATGGTACATTTCATCCAAGTGTTTCAAAACCCTTTTTGATAGTTATTAAATTTACCCCTCTACCCTTCACCCCAATAGCTTGTCAGATAGGTAAATATTCTTGGCTTGGAACCTAAGTAAGACACGCAGTTGAACCCAGGAACTTTTCCCCTCAGAAAGCTCTTGACACTTACGCATCATCTCATTGCTCTTTTTCTAATTTCTCCAATCAGTTTCAGTGCAAATTTCCATTTGCTGTGTGCCCAGGACAAATGAGGGGGCCTTTGTCTTATGTGGTCATTTGATTTTTTTAAGAGCAGGACACTGATCTCAGGCATAAAATCCTTGAATTATAGAGCTGGAAGGGACCTTTGAAATCACTTGGTCCCATCTCCTTCAATGTAGATTTTTATTCAGGAGACACACAGAGGATGTGGAAATTGGGAGGTTTTTTTTTGTTTTTTGTTTTTGTCAACCACTAACAGAGATGCAGAGATTACGCCAGTGGTTCTAAACATGGTGAATATTCAGTATGGACATTATAATAGTGAAATACAAACACATCAGCCAACTTCTGAATTTAGATGATTGAATGGAAGATCGCTCTCGTCTACCCACCACACACACATACATAAAAGAAAAAAACAGCCCTGTAAGAATTCAATTTGCTAAATTAATCATCATGTTGGTGATATGGGCAGAGTATTGAAAAGACTGAGTTGGGCAGCCTGAGTTGAAGTGTACTGTCTAGTTTTCTTCAAGGGAGAAAGACTCTGTGTTTAATGGACTCATGTCATCTAGCCATTGATCAGATGAGCTTTTTTAGAAAGGCAGGAATAATCCATCAGGCTTTTCAGAAATTGGACAAAATGTTCCACAAGATTGTTCAACTGCTTTCACTCTGATTACATATTCTTCTATCAACTATCTGATTCCTACCTTGGTACTCTAGGCAACTGGGTCCTGGAAAGGTGGGTTCCTCAAAAGTAGATACAACCTTTGAGTCACTAGTAAGTTCTATCTGCTATAACAAAACTGATGCACTGACTTTCTGATTTATACATCAGTCCCTTATAAGTTTGGTTACTGTGAACCAGCCAGTCATTTCTGGATGAGTCATTCCCTCCCCACCTCCTTCACCAAATGTTGTAACTCTATGAGACCCAACCGGAGATGGCCTCCTTGTCTCATTATATGTTGCTAAAATCATATGTAAGAATATGTGGGTTTTAACAGGGAAGAGAAACTGGGAAAGGTAACATTTAGTGTAACATAGAGACAGTTGTTGTGGCAGGTTCATCCACAGAGTAGGGGAAGCAAGGAAGAGTCCCTTCTTAAAACTGAGGAGGTGATCTTGAGCAACACTCCAGGGATCATGGGCACTAGGGGTGCATATGAGAAACAGCAACTGTGGTCTGAAATACTTCAGTCTGGAGCCACGTGTAGAAAAAGAGGGAGTGAGGAGAGGAGACTTAAGCTCCTGCCGGAGGCCAGTAATGTGAATCATGCGAGGTAAATATTTGCCTGTGGGTTGAAGGGCGCTTGCCTTCTGTGTACACAATGCCCTTTAGCGGACAGTTCAGAGACAGCATTTAGCCTTTAAAGGAGGAAGAGGAGTGGGATTGTAGGATCCCTGGGAAACAATGATGGAAGTGAATTAGTCAGAGGTGTCCCCACATGGGGCTTCACAGCAGGGATACAGATCGTGCATCTGAGCAGAGGCCTCACAGTGAGCGTCAATGGAGTAAGCCACAGGCAAAGAAGGCAGTTTTAGTAAAGACATTGAGGAACAGCACAGAAAGACAGTTCTGGAAGCAGGAATGAAAGACACCGTCGGAGGAAGAGTAGCGGTGTGAAAAATGCTGTGTTTTAAATATTTTGCAGTGTAGTTCTCTTAGAGGTGAAGTTTCAATAATCCATATGAACTTATTATTCACAATTTTTCTGAAGAATGACAGGCAAAATGGTCTTCTCTGTTGTTAGGAGTGACAACGGAGCCCAATTATGCAGAATTTCTTTTAATAATGGAGCAGAACGTGCATACTTTCCAGAGGCACGGCCAGCCAGAAGCCACTGTCACCTTTTCTGTGGAACAAAGGGATAAATTCATCCATTCCTGCCTCTGTCCAGACAGCCACTCAGCATTTACTGAATTGTACACCAGGACGGGTAAGTGCAGGATAAAAAATGCTAAATAAGACCCTGCTTTCCCAAAGCTCACGGTGAGTGCAGGAGACAGATGGACAGGAAATGACAGTGGTGTGAGGAGCTCAGCTGAGACCCAAGGGTTTCCCTTCCCAGAGGGGGTTCTCCCCTTCCCACCCACCAGTCAGAAGGTTGTCTCGGTTCCTCATCCTCTCAAGGGTTGCTGGCCTTGTCACAGACACTGTGACACCCTAGTGACTCAGAGCCTCATCCCCACTGAGCCAGCAGTGCCCGTTCCTTCTCTGTGGAGCCTGAGGAGGTGAAGAGAGGACAGACTCTCTTTCATTCCCTGACCACTCTGTCCTGCTCATGGCGTCAGACCCACGTGGACTGCTCGCCAAATAGAAAGTTCTCTCCTGAAAGTTAGGGCAAGCAAACATGGAAGGGAATTAAATTCTGGCTCACTGGAACTTTCCTCTGTGCTGCCCAAGGCAGGCCTTCAAGACTGAAGCATTCACAGGGTGGATGTCCCACGTGTGATTCCCCACTGCCCTCTTTGCCCCTATGCCCACAGCATCCGTGAAGATGAACTGTCTTTTTAGCTCTAGAAGATTTTAGGATCTCTGTGTTGTTGGTGTGGAGGTTTTACAAGGGTGTGTGGTTCTTTTATTCCTTGTGCTGAGAACTCATGGACTCCTTTGATATGTAGACTCATGAGCTTTTGTTCTTGTATTATGTCTTTGATTGGTCAGAGGTTGGTCCTCCTGGACGGGTAGTCTGGGTCTCTTTCCTCTTACTGTGTTTTAGGCTTTGTTAACTACTTGGTCAGCTTTTCCTTGTCCAGGGCTGTTTCCTTGATTTTATTTCCAAATGTTCTGTTGCAATTTTGTTACTATGACACTGATAATTTTTATTTTGAAGAATTCTTTATGGGTTTCTGGTTGTTCTTTTATCATAGCAACATGATCTCATTTCACGGATACAGTTTTATCTCAGATGTCTTGCAGAACACCAGTGAAAGTGATTTTGGTTCACTGAATGATCTCCAGTTCCTCTGGGGTCATGTGTTTGTGTTTATTCATCTCGGTCTTCCTTATTCATGTTTGTGATCTCCTCAAGTGTCTGATATTCTTTGGTTTTCCATTCATGGGTGATTGATGGGATTGGTGTGCAAGCATAGAGGGTGTAGAGTGGCAGGGTGAGCGGGCAGGGAGCCAGCCAGCATCTTGAGGACTCCTAAATGCTTCAGTGTGAAGGTTTTAGCCGTGTGGTCCCAACCCTCACACTGGCTGCCATGGTTTTCCTGACTGAGTGCTCAAACTTCTTAAACTAACGTCTGACACTTCCACTTTCCAACAGTCTGAGGAACGTCTTCACCCATCAGATCTACTGGTGTTCTCAACTCCAAATGCCCCCAGTATATTCTCTTCCTTCACAGACCTGTTTCCTTCCCTGGACTTCCTATTTCTGATAGCTACACAATCTTCCCGGTGTTAAAAACCACAGAATAATTATCAGAATGATCTTATCCTCCATACTTAGTCTGTGTCTGAGCCCTTGATGAGACCACCATGCCCATCCTTCCTCTTCCCATCACAGCCTCTCAAGCCAGATTGTCATCATTTATTCTTTAGAAAACTTCCAGGTTTCCCTTTAGCCTCCTGTCTCGCACTGTCAGATTACTACGCCCTAAATGTAGTTCTCTTTGCATTATTCTGCTGCTCAAAATTCTTTCCTCTGTCCCTTCTGTTTACTCATTACTGCCCAACTCCTTAATCCAGGGCTTCAGGGGTCCAACCCATTTCTCCCACATCACCTGCAGGAGGCAAAAACATGCAGGGTGGGCTCTGAGGACAGATAGACACAGTCAGGACCTGACTCTGATGCTCACAGGGCAAATTATTTGCCGTTAGTCACAGATTTCTCAGCTCTAACTTTGAGATAATAAAAATACAGATTATTGAGAAGATTTAATGAGATAATGTAGCAAAAGAGGTTGTACAGCGCCTGGGGCATAAAAATAAATACTATTTAAAGGTTATACTTATGGTTACTTCTTTTGTTATTATTGTTGTTTACTTCTTGCATCCAGTATCTTTCAGCCAAATTGGTCTCCCTGTCCCTCTCTGTGCTCTGGCTCAAGTGTCCTTCCTCTCTCTACACTGTCAAACTTTGTTAACACTTTTAAAATTTGTGGTAACATTAAATCATCCATTTTAACTATTTTTAAGTGTCCAGTTCAGTGGCATTAAGTGCATTCTCATTGTTGTGCAACCATCACCACCATCCACATCCAGAACTTTTTCATCTTGCCTGACTGAAAGAAGAGTCCCTCACTCCCTCTCCCCCCAGCTTCTGCCAGCCACTCTTCTACTTTCTGGCTCTATGAATTGTGCTCTTCCAGTACACAAAATTAGTGGAACCATGTAACACTTACCCTTTTGTATCTGGCTTATTTCAGTTAATGTGATACTTCAAGGTTCATCCATGTTATAGCATGTATCAGAATTTCACTTCTTTTTAAGGCTGAAACATTCCATCATATGGATCTATCACATTAATTATCCATTCGTTCACCATCGGACACTGGGTTGTTTCTGCATTTTGATTATGGTGAATAATGCTGCTGTGAACATGGATGTGCATGAACGTGGGTATCTGAGTCCATGCTTTCCCTGCTTTTGGTTATATACCCAGAAGTGGAGTTGCTGGATCACATTGTTACTCTGTGCTTAGCTTTCTGATGAACTGCCACACTGACTGCCACAGCAGCTACGTACACTGTCAATTTTAATTGTCCTTTAAGGTCCAGTTCCTTTGCCACGCCCTCCCTGAAGCTTTTCGGATCCCTTTCTAGACAGAGCTCTGTCTAGAAGGTGTTAGAAGCACTGGGACTGGGCTCTGATTGTGCCACTGGGGAGGTACATTCCACCACCTTGGGCTATGGTGTTTTGCTTGTAGATCACCTTCCCACAGCCCTCTTCAGGAGCGGCTTGTTTCTCATGCTGCCTCACTCAGAGCAGGTGCTCGATCTGTACTTTCTGAATGAAAGAAAGAGCAAACGAATGAATGAATGGAGTAATGACCAGCCTTGCTCTGAATTACCAGGAGATGCTGACACCTCGCAGGGAGGATGCAAGTGGTTAGCCCCCCCTCAATGCTTTCATACAGAGTGAAAGTGGTGAGCCGTTCCTGCAGCATCCTCACAAACCAGCATCACGCTCCTCAGTGCTGCTTCCTGGGCTCAGCTGCCTCAGTCGCATTAAGAAGCAGCGTGTGCTGCCGGTGTCTGTCGAATTTCCCTAATAAGGAAAACAGGTTGCCACCTGGGTCTGCGGAGACATTTTGAATGCATTGTATTTAAATTTTGTTTTCATTGAAAATTTATAGCCACCCCCTTCTACTCTAATGTAATGAATAATTAGAAGCAATTACAGGGAAATTTAGCAAATTACCAAGTCATCTAGGAGTAAAAATTAGTGTTTATGGTGTTTCTCCTTTGCTGTCTGGCAATCCAAAGTGATATATTATGTGCATGCAGACACCATGCGCAGATACCTTTCTATGCACCTAGCAGTTTTCCAGTAAGATCATAAAAATCAATGCGTGGCAGTAGAGTCTTGTGACATTAAAGGGCCTGCTTAATAAATATTGGATGATGGGGGCAGGGGAAGAATGGATTTGAGCAGTAGAAACTTAACCACAAAAGATTTTATGCTGGTACATTAGAGATAACTTTTTTAAAGTTTATTTTTCAATTTAAAAATGTACATTTTAATTAAAGAAATTAAGGGAGAAAAAACAGAAAAGTGAAAGAAATTTCACCAAGGCTGCCCAGACTCTCCACCCAGAGATTATTTTTCCATTTTGGTATATTGACTTTATATTTTCTATGCATGTTTGCATGTTTTACTGTCATCGTTTTTTTTTTTATCACACTGCACAAAGCATTGCTATTTTGATTTTAAAACTTAATGGAGTCACTTAAGCATACTCTCATGTTGCTATGACCAAGCCACATAGATAACACATGATTATTTTACATTCCCTATGACCGTAGTTTTAGCTTGTTTCCACTTTCAAAGTATTATAAATAATACTGCAGGGGACTTCGTAGTACATACAGCTTTTTTCCTATATTTTAAAATTAGGATTCTTAAAAAGGATTCCTGAGATGTAGGCTTTTTAAAATTCTTGATTCTTTTTTACCTAATTGCTTTCCTAAGAGCTTGTAGTTATTTGCTTCTTAACCTGTGACGTTGAGAGTACCTGTTTGGCGCCACCAGTACAAGCGCCAAAGAGAACTGTTGAAGCATTTTCCTACTTTAAGAGGTAGTTTTTATTTCTCTGGTTATAACTGAGGTTGGGTGAAGTTGGAATGAGTCAGATTCAGTAGCTGGGAATAGAATTCACCTGCTCTAGTTTATGGAGATTTATTTCATTACATGCTTTGCAAAAGAAACAGGACTGGGCTGAGCTCTAAGATAGGACTTTGAGGGCCACATCACAGAACTGGGTCACAGCAAGAACCGCTTCTGCCCTGTGAAGCTACCACAGCTGGGGGAGGAGGGAATCTGTACAGGAAAACCAGAGAGCCCACCGCAGTGTTTGCCAATGGAAATGGAGAAAGGAACACAAAACACAGCCTTACCTCATTTCTGCCTTGCAGTTTAAATCCCATCTGTCACTGTGGTGGCCAGGGAGTCCTATAAATAAAGATTTGAGATTTCCAGCTTCTGCAGTACAGGAAGACCCATTAGGAGGAGGGCCAGATGGATGTCAGGTGCTGATCTCCCATGTCCACCACGACATTGTTCAAAATGTCTGGAATGTTTGCTAACCTGGTGTCTCACCTCTTAAATGAATTATCATTTTCTAAGCTTTTCTAGGCTATCTGGTAAAAGAAGCTGCTAGTGACTAGAAGGACATGATGGCATTATTTCTGAGGAGCTTATAGCCTTGCCTTTGGTAGAATTGAAGGTGAGGAGAAAGTGAGACAGGGCGAGAGATGACTCCACTGGCTC